AATATCTGAAAAGAGAGCTTCCTGATGTTAAGAACATACTATATATTTTCAGATGGTTGTGCTGCACAATACAAAAATTTTAAGAACATCATAAATCTCTGCCATCATTACATTGCTTTTGGTATAACTGCAAGGTGGGCATTCTTTGCAACCAGTCATTGAAAATCTTCTTCCTGTAATGGTATTGTTAGGTACAGTTAAACGACTTGTTGCAAGAGCTAATACGCAGAGACGATCAAATATTGCCCATGGAAAAAATGTTTGAGTATTGTGAGTTGAACATTAAGGGCATCAACAGAGGGGCATCAAATTTCTGAAGGTTACAAAAATAGACATGACACCTATCAGACCAATGTTGTATACCAGATTTGAAAGAGGAAAAATAATTCCTGGTACAAGTAGTTATCATTTTTCTCCTCTTTCTGAAGGGGACGTTAGCTACAAGAGGGTTAGTGATAATGAAGCTGAAGCTGGAACATTTAAATGTTTAATTTTGACACTGTGAAGGCTGATCAAGTTTCTGACGTGAAGATCATGGAATTTATCGCCTGCCAGTATGACTTGTTCTGGTGGGTTGGATTGGTTGAAGAAATAGACCAAGAGCAGGAAGACTTTCCTGTCAAATCCATGCACCCACATGGGCCAAATTTAAACTTTACGTGGCCAGCAAGAGATGATCAGTGTTTGGTGCCTTTTGACATGTTCATATACATAGTGGACACTCCCGACACAACAACTAGTCGGACGTATAAAATTAGCGAGAGTGAATACACCAGAATCATCAGTTTGGACCTTGAGAAATAAATGAAAACAAGGTTTTCCGTCTCTAAGGTAAAAATAATGATGACTTACAAGCATCTATAATGATGTTGCATAATGATGTTGGGTACATATTTTCAAGTTGGTGTAACTTCTGAAGCCTAGAAAAACAGTTGATGAAACTACCCTATAATGCCCATGAACATGTATACTTTAACATGTCAAAAGATGCATGTCAAAAATTTTGTATCATGTCCGCCACATTCCAAAATTTACACTTAAAGTGGCTTAACTTAATTACCATGGCAATAACAGCTCTCCTATTGGTTGTAAGTAATTTTTAATATAATTTTTAAATTCTACAGCATCAAGTTATGTAATCCCCCAAATTTTATAATAATAGCTCAAATAACCAAGATTTTATGAACTGTTTATTAATAAACGAGCAGGAGTGTTTTATTAGGTTTAAAGCTACGAGCGCGCAGCGCGAGTGGCTTTAGACCTAATGAAACACGTCCTGCTAGTTTATTAAACGGTTTCAAACACGACTACAAATTCAATAGATATACTGCCTTATTCGTATTCTTTATATAAAGAATACTAATGAGGACACGACTACAATAGATACTGCCTTATTAGAATTCTTTATATAAAGAATACTTATTTGGAGTGTTTTATCAGGTTTAAAGCCACTGCACGTGACATATTATGGTTGACATGATTTGCCAATAAGCTTATGAATTATTAATGAGTGTTTGAATACTATTTTACTGAACCGCTACCCGAGAACGTTTGCTCGGGCTACACCCATTTTTGATCAAATTTCTCAAAATATAAAGTGCGACATCTCGGAAACTAATTCAGCAACAAGTCTGAAATTTTGGAATTTAGAATGTTTCATGTTGGTTGTTATTTCCTCGAAATTTGAAAAAATCCAAGAGGGGTGGTTCTACCCCCTAGCTGGATGAACTGACATGGAGTTACCCAATAGGATTATTTGCTGGGCTCTATTATTCATTTTTAACTGGAGTTAGTGCGAAAGTTAGCCAATCAAAGTCGCGTAAAGTGATTAAGAGTTTCATACAACCGGCCGCTGCACTGTATGTGATGTCAAATGTTCTTCCTTTAGAACCTTGTGTTGATCGAGTAGTTGACCTGCTATTTTTGGTTGCAGCACTGGTTAATTGTACCATTATATTCTTCAGTCATGTTTCTTGTTGGCCTAACAGGAGGTATAGCCAGTGGAAAAAGTGCTGTCTCTCTTATGTTGAGGTTGTTGAACTGTGAAGTTATCGATGCTGATAAAATTGCTCGGGAAGGTCAGTTGATTGAACATTAGGGCCATTTATACGAGACAAAATAAGACGCGACTTACATAAGACGCGACTTAAATAAGACGCGAGTTTGTCGTATAAAAGGTACAAAATTCTTATGTAAGACGCGTCTTGGATAGGACGCGACTTAAATAAGAACAGGACTTTTAGCTGTTCTTATTTAAGTCGCGTCTTAAATAAGAAATTTTGGACAAAAATTCTAACTACACATGCCCGAAACTTCAAACAACGTAAAATTATTAGCCTTGCATATTAAAACAAAAACAACCGAAACAACATAATAGCTATTGCAAGTAAATAAGAATAAAGCCGTAGAGAACCATTTATGCGATAACTCCGCTTATTTAAGTCGCGTCTTATGTAAGTCGCGTCTTATTTTGTCTCGTATAAATGGCCCTATTGATCCCTACTTTACTCAAGGATGTACCTTGCCTCTTACTCTCTAAAATATGAAAATTTGTTGGTTGCTACAATGGCATGACCGAATTTAAATTATGTAATACACCCTTCAGGAAGTATGTCACTTTAAATATAGAGCCTCGTTTTCGTGCATGTGACAATAGTTAAAACCCAACATGTCAACCATGAGAGTTACAGAGCCGATTAATCCGCCGCGGAACAGGTGGGGCTATAGCTTCCCCAAAAGTAAAAATACCTCTGGTTATTTATCGAGGCTAAAATAGTTGAATGACAAGGGTTATTGAATTGTCTAGAATCGTTCACGAGGGCAGACAGTGCCCCCAAAATGGTGGATTTCGGCCTTCGCGAGAAAGGCTAATTAAGCTAACCCAAATAGTTTTGTTATTAGTAAACCAGATTATCAAGAGTGTTTTTAGAGTGAATACGTATACGTACAGTATACTAAACCCAAAGAGAGATGAGTCTGTTGGACGGATAACTCACTGCAGTATTTGACTGATGACCTAATTATCCACAAGTATATATCATGCCATTACGTCCAGATGCTCAAAAAATTACAAACACTCACAGAGGCCGCAGAATGGGGGGGGGAGGGGGATTGGGGGCAGGTGCCCCCCACTTTTTGTGCAAGGAGAAAATGTGCCCTTTTTGTGGAATAAAAGTGCCCTTTTTTCCAGTAATTAAAGAGGAATTATAGATGCCCCCTTAAGCTAAGAAGTCTACAAATGCATTGTCTTATTGTTATGCACGTGAACAAGGACAGTTGGCAATTTTGAATGAAATTGAATTAATTAATAAAAAAATGTAAAAAAAATTAAATTTGAGTTCCGGACACAGAGCTATTAGAGAATACGTATAACATCCGAGACTGTATATTGGTTTCGTCCAAACCTCTAAACCTTCTAAGGACACATCAAACATATTTAGAATGTTTGCTGATCCAAGTGCCCTTTCTGCTCAGTGCCCCCCACCCACACTTTCGATGTGCTTCCGTGGTCTCTCATGATATTTTAAATATTTCTCGTTCAGTGGTAGAACCAGGAAAGCCAGCGTGGAAGAATATTGTAAAGAATTTTGGGGAAGACATTCTTCTTCCGACTGGCGACATAGATAGAACTAAGCTGGGTGAAATTATTTTCTCTGATCCACAAAAGAGAAGAATACTCAATAGATGTACACATCCTGCGATCCATAGAGCAATGATGTGGAAAATGTTAAAATTGTTCTTTCAAGGTAAAGCTCAAACGTTATATCTTCGAAATAGTTGAAGGGTATGGACAACAAAATTAAACATGTTAAGACTGAAAGAACTCCTTGAACTGTAGAATAAGTTATCACACAAATATATCTTTCTTAGTATTTGCTGTGTTGGTGTAATGTATTCAGGTGAATAAGATGCTTGTGTGATGTTACTCTGAGTGTATATCCACACCGGGCAGGCTTGAAAAATATGCCTGGCCACGGTGGGATTCGAACCTACGACCTTTGGAATACTAGCCCAATGCTCCGCCAACTGAGCTACGCGGTCAGGTCGGTTCGAGTATGCGATATTTCGGAACTGAGTCTAGTTCCTTCGATGTCAGTGCAGGTTTTTTTCTCAAGATTTTCTCTTGGGTCAGTTTTTGCAGAGAAGATTGAGTTTAGCTGAACAGCTGGGGTGGCTGCACCCCCCCCCCCCGTACCGGGGGGCTGACACCTGTACTCTAAGGGACACTATAAACTGGTTAAAGATGGCGAATGCATAGTTTTTCTTGTGTTGTGAGATGAATTCCAGCCATTTTGTCTTAATTGTCGGGTTTCCAACTGAAAACTAATTTCCACATGTCACGAATTTAACTCAAACAACTTCATTTTTACTGCACTGAAACTTTTGGTGAGAAGATTGAGTTTCAAAACTCAATTCAAGATTGAGTTTTTGGGGCCGTTTAACGGCCCTAAAAAATCCCTGAAAAAAACCCTGCAGTGTAATCTAATAATCATGATATTTGCTGTGTTGGTGTAATGTACTCAGGTGAATAAGATGCTTGTGTGATGTTACTCTGAGTGTATATCCACACCGGGCAGGCTTGAAAAATATGCCTGGCCACGGTGGGATTCGAGCCTACGACCTTTGGAATACCAGCCCAACGCTCCGCCAACTGAGCTACGCGGTCAGGTCGGCCCGAGCACGCGATATTTCGGAACTGAGTCCAGTTCCTTCGATATCAGTGTAATCTAATAATCATGATATTTGCTGTGTTGGTGTAATGTACTCAGGTGAATAAGATGCTTGTGCGATGTTACTCTGAGTGTATATCCACACCGGGCAGGCTTGAAAAATATGCCTGGCCACGGTGGGATTCGAACCTACGACCTTTGGAATACCAGCCCAACGCTCCGCCAACTGAGCTACGCGGTCAGGTCGGAGCAAATATCATGATTATTAGATTACACTGATATCGAAGGAACTGGACTCAGTTCCGAAATATCGCGTGCTCGGGCCGACCTGACCGCGCGTAGCTCAGTCGGCGGAGCGTTGGGCTGGTATTACAAAGGTCGTAGGTTTCGAATCCCACCGTGGTCAGGCATATTTTTCAAGCCTGCCCGGTGTGGATATACGCTCAGAGTAACTAGATCACACAAGCATCTTATTCACCTGAACCAACACAGCAAATATCATGATTATTAGATTACACTGATATCGAAGGAACTAGAATCAGTTCCGAAATATCGCATACTCGAACCAACCTGACCGCGTAGCTCAGTTGGCAGAGCATTGGGCTAGTATTTCAAAGGTCGTAGATTTGAATCTCACCGTGGCCAGGCATCTTTTTCAAGCCTGCCCGGTGTGGATATACACTCAGAGTAACATCACACAAGCATATCTTTCTTAGGTTAGAAGATATTTCAGTTTATTTGATATGAAAATAAGATGACGTCACAAACTGGGTCAACTTTTTGACAGTCCACATGCAGGATTAAATACTTCATATTTTTGTATGCAATATTAGTCAATGGAGTCATCGATCTAAGGATCTATCCGACGGGATATTTCGTAATAGGATAGCTAGTATTTTCGGGCAAGGCCTAAGCGAATTTTCGTGGATTCAACAGGTCATCGGTTTGCTGTTTTGGAAGTTCCGTTGCTGTTTGAATCAGGTGTGATTGCACCTTTCATGA